GGGCGCTGTGCAGCAGGGAGAGGGGCGGGGGCTCGGCAGGGGGCTGCTGGGCTTGCAGGGAGTCGGGTGGGGGCTCGGCAGGGGGCGCTGGGCTGCAGGGAGTCGGGTGGGGCTCGGCAGGGGGCTCTGGGCTGCTGGAAGTTCGATCTCAGGGCCAAGACGCAGAAAGCCTGGTCCGTGCCCCAGCTGAGGCCAGGGACTATCCCATGACACCGTGGAAACCCGGAGCATCAGCCGGATGCACTGAGCGGTCTGAGAACTGGCCCTGCCACCTGGGGGGCTGGGAAGACGCCAGGCTGGGATCCCAGCCCCGCTGGGGGAGGCCCACACCCTGCGGCTGGTTCCCTTAGCATTGCCTCGGAGGGCCGTGCGGCCTGGCTGGGCTCTGGGCTGCGGCCGGCTCGGAGCTGACCTGCCCCGTGGGACGACTGTGGGGCTTGGCAGGGGGGCAATTCACCCCCCGCTTCCCTATTGCTCTCTCCCAGGCTGGCCAAGTCGACGCTGACCCTGATCCCGCTGCTGGGCATCCATGAGGTGGTGTTTGCCCTGGTGACGGAGGAGCAGGCCCAGGGGACGCTGCGCTACGTCAAGCTCTTCTTTGAGCTCTTCCTCAGCTCCTTCCAGGTAGGGAGCAGAGCCGGACACCCCGGAGCTGGGGGGTGGGGTCTGGGGCAGGGGGGATGCCGGGGCCCACCCAGCCCCTGGAGGAATAGGGGGTGAGGGAACAGGGACCAGCCTACCCAGGGGCTGGGCTTCAGCTCTGGGGATTGTTTGCAGGTGCCTACTATGGGGTTGGACAGAGACGTGTTCCCCAGCATCCCCCGCTCAAGCCATGTGGGGTGCTGTAGGGTCAGCCCCCTGGCACCCAGAGGCCTGCGAGGCGCAGGTGTGGTGCCGCCGGCTGAGCAGGGAGCTGGCCGAGGGCAGCTCCACGCCGAGCAGCCGTGGAATCCGGCCTGGGCATGGAGCCTCCCGAAAGGCAGCTTCACCCCACCTCTCCACCCCTGGTGTGTCCCAGGGGAACTGGGCCCAGCCCTGCCTTTATCTGCTCTTCTCTTGCAGGGTCTTCTGGTGAGC